GCGAACTGGCACTGAAAGAACAATGCAGGAAGAGTAGTCGAATGATAACGACCACAAAAAATACAAGGCATGGAAGCCGAGAACAACGAGCATTGCATGCCACAAGGGTATTCCAACCAGAAACTTGGGGAGAACGAGTCTAAACCTTTAGTAGAAGCCAAACCAGGAGACCTCTAGATCATTTGGCTTTAAAATGGGTACTGTTTTTTGGTGGTTGAACCTAGTAAGATTATATTCCTTATATAAAATACTAGACCCCAAAAGGAGGATATAATCTTACTCGATAATGGGTACCATAATATCCCCAAATTAAATACTACTGAAATGAAGGCAACGTATGTAGCTTGGACATACAAGCTCTGCAGCCGATTGCTGCAGCACTTTCTTCATATTCGCTACAGCATACCAGCGAGGCTGCCAACAAAAACACGGCGAAGAATGACGATCAGTACATCCGCCGTCTAATCTAATCTTCAATATAGCCCAAAATTCCCTATACTTTCCATTTTCTTTTCCATTATCCCTACATAACCCCTACATACCCAATATATCCCCTTTATAATCCCTATAGACCCTAAACCCTAAACCCATTATAGTAGTTTCCAGGATTCAAGGCCGGTACCTCGGCCAGGAGAGTTCTCAAGTCTAAGAACCGAATGCGCTCCAGCCTGTCCCTAAGAGTCCAAGGACCCAAATAATTAATAGGGTTTTAGGTCCCAAACACCATTAATACTGTTGATGGATGAAATCTTGCACCACCTAGGGGCCCTAAATTACTGTAATTCCCAGGACTTTAGGGACCTAAGGTGGTGTAAGATTTCCTCCATCAACAGTAGTATAGTATTTGGGCCCTAAAACCCTATTATTTGGGTCCTTGGACCCTTAGGGTGTGCCATGACCTCAAGCCCCTAAAACTTGGATCCACCATTGAACCCTACCATTTACATATGGAGACTATGTTATAATGAACATCTTTGGACTGGGCGCAGATCCGTCAACCCTTCCACCTAGCTACTGGGGTCGATACAGTTTTTTTTCTGAAGCCCGTCTACCCTCCTAATTCCGATACATCGTTCGAGCCTCGCTGGCTTTCCGCGCTTCCTCAATCGCCTCCTTGAGCTTGTCTTGCGAGTCCTGGCTGGACTGTCTGCTATATAGGATCAAATGGGTTTAGGGTTTAGGGTTTTGGGTGAGCTTTACCAAAACTAATTTCCTTCTCTTTACATTGGGGCCTCTACTACCTAGCAAGCTAGAGATTACCCACTGGAAAGACTACCGGAGTGCTTTGCTTTTTACAAGCCAAGGGCTTCAGGCCTCAACCTCAAGCTCAACAGAACCCTAAACCCTAAACCCTAAACCCTCAACAGGCCTAAGCTTCCCAAGAGATTTCTCCTCTAGGATCTTAATCCCTAAGCCCTAAACCCTATAGGTTGGGTACTGCCCCCCCCCAATAACAATCTATTAGGGGTCCTATTAGGGGCTATATATAACCATAGTGTAACTATTATCCAACTGTTAGTGAGGGGGGGCAGTACTGAACCTATAGGAGTCTCTACAAAAGTATTCGGGACCGTATTGTAGAGCTTAGACTGCGTAATTTGGGGGTACATTCAAAAGTGCAAGCCGCCCGGACTGGGAAAACCCTACATCCTAGACCCCTGACCATCACCTTAAGACCCTGAACTTGAATCTTTCAAGGTTTAGGGTTTAGGGTTCAAGATTTAGGGACTTAACCCTTCGAATCCTGAACCTCCTTAAGCCCAAGGACCCTAGCGCCACAAACCTGAACCCAAAACCCTAAACCTCACATCCATGCCCCAAGCCCTTAATCCTCGAAACTACACCCCAAAACCTAAAGCCCTAAATCCTACACCCTTCCTGGGAGGCTTTCTGGTCACTCTCGAGTTTTGCCTCCAGCTTTGCTTGCTGGGCCTGCGGGAAGAACACAGGTCGTGAGCGATCCAAATAATCCAATGTAGGTAAATTTAGGTAATATTTACGGATTTTTGAGCTCAATGCAAATGCTATTAGTATCCTTGAATTCCTTGGGAACTGGTTTAGGTAAGGCTCCTTTGTGCTTAGTAGGAGAAGGACTAGAACAACTGCAAGCTACCCCAAAACCATGTGGGGCTAGGGTAGGGAATGAGAGCAAGGATCCCGACAGAAGCCCCCATAAACCCGAAACCCTAAACCCCTATAGTCGTAATTACGACCCAACCCCTAGAATCCCATAACACCCAATACGAGCGCCGACATGATATTGATTCAAGCAAGTCCTGTATGTACAGGTTTCAAGGCTTCAGTTAGGGAGTGTGTGGTTTGCAGTGTATTTAATTTGCGTAGAGGGTTTGGAGCAAGAGCTCTGGGCGTAGGGTCGTGGCATGCAAGTGTTTCGGAGGCTGGTTGTGTACACGTATGCTTTGACTTTGAGACCACAAATAGCATTCTAAAGGCATGGTCTTGAACACCTTCTCTGTGCGTTGCATGTCTCAAGGCCCCGTAAAGGTGTCGACTAGTACACTGCTGGTTGTCTACTAGCTGTCCATGTTGCCATAAAATATCATGTTTGCTGGGGAGTTTGCAAGAACCACTATACCCCAAATGGAGTACCTGACCTACCAAGATACACGTTCCCTGTAGCAGTGTCCAAACGGACAACATGGAAACACAAGCATGACAGCACCATGGTGATGATGTTGGTTACAGTCCGCCTACCATGTGAACCCCAAACGCCTTTGAACATCCCGGAGCATCGCAAACCACGAGCCAGTTCATGTGGTGGGGGCCTCCTGGGCCTCCTGATGTGACTGAAGCTTGTCAGTCATCTGCTGGCTCAGGTCCTACACCAGGCTTTTTTGGGGGTATAGAGTTGTTCAGCAACCCCGCGAAAAATGGGCGCGTCCACCCAGTGCCCCGAAACACTGCAATCTGCTTCTTTGGGAAAGATGAGGGGGTCCCAAAAAAGGACCGCCGGTTTCAGGAAGCACCACGTAAACAGTTGGGGGGCTAAGTGCGATGCAGCGGGAGCCGAGCCAAATGAATATATCACCGAACCACCTTGATTTGCCTCTGGAGCCCTTGGAAACATATAGCTCAATTGAAACTTATTAGCACCTAGGACCTAGGGTCCTCCTGGAACCAATTAAGGGAACATACCTAAGTATTGCGAATGCCAACCCAGCCCTACTAGGATGATGTGCGGATGTTTTTTTTGCCGGGCACTGGATTTCGGGCCTAGAGTTGAGGAGAATGGGGCTCAGCCTTGTCAGGAAGGTTTTGCCGGTTGAGGCTTGGATTTAGTGCTCAATGGCTCAGAGGGGTGTGAAAAAAGTGGGCTCAACTGTTTCTGCTGGCGGTGGCCCTCGTGAGGTGTCGGCATGACATCACGGAACTTCTCTGGGACCTTGCAGACTATACATACTAATGCGTCAAACTCTGATTCTTTAAGCATAAAGCCCTGAGACGCTAAAACCCGACATGAATACAGCTTCCGTGTCACTTTCCATTGATTCTCCACGTTTCCCAGTATTTGGGCCCTACCACCCAAGTGACCTCTGTGCTATCCCTATCGTACCCCCTTCTTCTCGCTATATGCACCCCATACATCCCCACACCATGCTGATATCTCCCGAAATATCACTGTGAAAACCCTACACCCTATGCTTAGTCCTACTCCTGAACTAGGCATCCAAACTGGGTCCAGGAATAGATAGGGACAAATGCGGTTGAGGGTTCGGGGTACAGGGTTTAGGGCGTTGGAGAAACTGTGGTGTATGAAGATTACACAGGGGTGCTGCAGTGGCTAGCTACGGGAATGGTGCCATGCAAGGATTGACATGGGGGTTGCATAAGGATTTTATAGAAAAAAGGGGGAGGCGATCATGAAATGGCTTCATAGCTTTGGCTCAAAACCCTGAACCCTAAACCCTAAGCCCTAAATGGTAGCTTTCATTTTCTTCTC